CAACAAACATGGCCACCATGGCTAAAAATAGAACATAGGGGTCAAATGCAGTTTTTTGCTTATATCTCAAAAACTAATGCCTTTAGAGCAAATCTGACTTGGGGTAAAATTGTTCAATTGGTCAAGATCTATCAGCCCTGAAATTTTCAGAATAATCGAACAACTCATTGTTGGGTTGCTGCCACTAAATTGGTAGTTTTGAGGAAATTTTGCAGTTTTTTGTTATTATCTTGAATATTATTATAGATAGATATAAACTGTAAACAGCAATAATGTTCAGCAAAGTAAGATCTACAGAAAAGTTAAATGACCAAATTTGTCAATTGACCCCTTAAGGAGTTATTGCCCTTTAAAGACAATTTTATGCAATGTGTTCATCAAGTTTGCTAACATTTAAAAATCTTCTCTTCTGAAACTATTGTGCCTAATACTTTTTAACTTTGAATGAACGTTCCTTTAGGAATCTAGTTTATGAATTGTATCTGAAATTTTGATCCATCAACAAACATGGCCACCATGGCTAAAAATAGAACATAGGGGTGAAATGCAGTTTTTGGCTTATATCTCAGAAACTAAAGCATTTAGAGCAAATCTGACATGGGGTAAAAATGTTCAAAAGGTCAAGATCTATCAGCCCTGATATTTCAGACATACCGAACAACCCATTGTTGGGTTGCTGCCACTAAATTGGTTGTTTTAAGGAAATTTTGCAGTTTTTGGTTATTATATTGAATATTGTTGAAGATTAAGATAAACTGTAAACAGCAAAAATGTTCAACAAAGTAAGATCTACAAAAAAGTTTAATATGACCAAAATTGTCAATTGACCCCTTCAGGAGTTATTGCCCTTTAAGGACAATTTACACAAGTTGTTTTATGTTTTTTAACTTTAAAAATCTTCTCAAATGAATCTAGTATAAATTTTGTATTTCATTTCCTTGTACGTCAAGAAACATAGACACTATGGCTAAAATGGAACATATGGGTAAAAAGCAAAATTAATCATTGATGAAAGATTTAAGCAAAAAAAATAACAGGTGAGCGATTCAGGCACTTGAGAGCCTCTTGTTTAAATTGCAAATTTAACGAAGACTATTAGGGGAAAATCAATGGTGGGATTACACCATAAAACTACTTTTTTTTAAATTCACTTATATCATTAAAATCCATTCCAAACTGGTAATGAATTATTATTAAAATAAGTAGATGTAGAAGGATTATTTTAATTTGAAACAAAATAATTCATAATTGATATAGTTTATCAAGTTTTATTAGGAAAAAATACAAAAGAGGAAATAATGGTGAAGACATAAAACAATGTACTTTTCTGTAAGTAATGGGTACAGAAAGTTTTACTAGTAGCAAAAATTATTGTAAAAACTCAGCTTGGTACTGATGATATCATGATAATTATTTATATCCCTGTATTCCAGTATAGCAAGTTTTTAATTTTCCTGGATAAAGGCTGCCTTTTGATGTACTGTACTGAAATCAAGGAAGATACGTTTGGAGCATTGTGACAGAATATATGAGTATAATAATATTCATCCCAGCACAACAAAACCGAATGTGAAAGGGCATATTGTTGTACCCCTTTCCCTCCATTCTTTGTTTTGTCCATCCTTCTGTGACTGTCTGTCCTACTTTGTGTACATGGTTTGTCAAGCTTAATCCCACAGCTTTCAAACTAAAATCTTTATAAAATGCAGGTTGAAAATACATAAGGATGTGTATATTGCCATGATTTTAATTGGCTACAAATTTCCACAAATGGCAGGATGTTGAAAATTGTAATTGTTTGGTGAAATTATGCATGAGTTAACATGGTTTGTCAGACTGACTCCTTCTGCAGTTATCAAGATATAACTTTCATATTATTAGATATTTACTTTAAAGGTGTGCATATTTTCTGGATTTTTCAAGTTTTCAACAAATGACATGATATTGAACGTTGTCTTTTTTCTTGAATTATGCATGTGGATAAATGGTTTGTCCAACTTAATATAGAAGCTACTTCTGCAGTTTTCAAGTTAGAACCTTTATATTATAAGACTATGATGTGCATATTTTTCTTTTTGCTTTAAGCTTTCTACAAATGACAGGCTGATGAATTTGATCATTTTTGTGCATTATTACGAAGAGGTCTATGGGTTTACTTTGTTCTTACACAGTGGTTTACAAAATTCATTTTTTTTATTTATGAATTACTGCAATGTGTATATTTACTATATATTTTTTTTTTACAAAAGATGGAAACATTTGCAATGAATGGCATAGCATGAGTGTGTTGATCCCTATTGTGCAAAAAAACTACTGTTTTCCTACATTTGGGTCTTTTTGCTGGAAGAGAGAATTCTAGATAACAATATCAAAAAATTATAAATTAAAATGACAAACTTCAAAGTAAATTAAAAAGGGGAAGAACATAAATCCTGACAAAATAAAATGCTCAACTGTATCAACCAACAGATAGAATGGAAAACAACAAATATATTCCTGACCTATTAAAGGCATTTTCAAAAGAAAATGATGGGTTAAAACTAGTTTTATAGGTAGTTAAACTGCCCACTTGTATGACAGTTGTTTAAAGTTGCATTATATTGACAAAATCAGTAGAGCCACATCTCAAGGGGTACCTTCTTGTGTAGGATACTGTTCTTAAAAGCATTGGAGTTGCATGATGATGATGTAGATAAAATCAGCTAGTCATTTTATGTAATGATGATATGTGTAGCTTTTAACCATCGCAGAGAAATTTACTGTTGATTCTTATGATGGAGGATTTACAACATTTCGAATTATTCAATAAACTAAAAAGTTAAGATCTTTGGTATGATCAATTCAATTAAACGTTCTAACTTCTCCACCAACTTCTTTTTCTTTCTTCATAGAGTATTTTCTGATCTAGCTACTAGATTTTGGTATTTACCAATTTACCAAATTGTTTTTGAAATGAATAACTTTTACATGTCCACCATTTTTGTTTCAGACTTAATTATACATTTGGGATGTTAAATACTAAGAACACTCTTTTATTTTGAATAAATTTGTAGATTTATAAAAGGCGGTTAGAGTACTTGTGTTGATCATAAGTAGGAAGACTTATAACTGTTGGTAAATAGTAAGACTCATGACTCTAAACACTTAGAGACCTATAGACTTGAATTTGCAAAAGAAATCTCACATTTCAGATGTTATACACAAAAACTGTTTGATATGATTTATCAACATTATCATTACTATCATCTTCAATGCTTATTCTGCTTGGCACTATCATTATTCCTGTTTCTCTGTTGATGTCCATTGCACCAGGAGATTGGATCCCATCAGCTGCTGACAGTATTGTCTCATAGATTTTACCATCTGGTGATACTACCATTACTCCATTCATTGCACTAGAAGCTATATAAACAAAGCCATTCTTGTCTAGGGCAAGTCCATCTGAATAGCCAATCTTACTGTGCATAAATTTCCAGAGAAGTTCTCCAGTAATTTTGTAGCAGTAGACTTCTTTATAGATGGTACCATAGATATTGCCATTGGATAATGCAATACTGCCCGCCCCAACTCCTTCTAAGATTTTATGGGACTCGTCATTTAGGTTAACTAAGGTATTTTTTTGAATATGATTCGCTTTACCGCTTATGACCAACATTTGACCATCACTTACTACAGCATCACAGTCATGGGAAAGATCGATTCTTTTCAAGATTTTGTTCTTTTCTACATCAACCAGTGCTATCTGATAATCTGATCCTAATGTGACAGCAACTGTTTTATTTCTAACAAAGCATACATCAAATGGTGATGAGTCTAAATCAACTATAACTCTCAAAAAGATGCCATCATTACTAAACAGTGCTAGGTATTTATAATAATAATCACCATTAAGAACTAAATATTTATTATCAGGTAATATTCTACAAGCAAACATATATTCATACTTCATATTAACTGGAATTGTCAGTTATCTCTGCATGAATGGTTTGATTTGCTCAATTGCAGGAATTATTGGAACTAGGTACTCTGCTTGATCCTTTCTTCCAACCTTAACTTGAAGAGTAGATGGTCTTGAATTGATAGTTATATCTCCAAATGATTTTACATCTTTTAAAATTGTTTGAAGTTCAGACGAGATGGTAACCTCTAAATCTTTTTCATCAAAGTGTTTCCATTCTTTAAATCTTCTATGTATTGAACTGCTTGAGATGTAGTTTTCTTATTTCTCTCAGACTAATGTACAGTTGTAGCTCAGTTGCATATTGTGTTATCTTGGAGAACTGGTTCTGCAATTGGCCTATCTTTTCAGTTTGCTGTTTCACTTGTTTTAGAAGAGTGTTTTTCTTCCATGTTAGTTTTGAATGCTGAGATTCTAAGTCATCAATAATTTTTTGTTCTAATTTGTTTTAGAACTCACAATCTGTGCACTATGTGACAGCTTTTGTAGATGTTCCATCATCATAGCAGAGGTTGCAAAAGTCTTCATTCGATGAGGCCATTTTCTTTGTGTCTTTATTTCTGAAATTTAATGTAGAGTAGCATTTGACATTTTTTACCAAACAATTATGACTTCACTCTCAGTCTTATCTTAGATAGCATTACTAGAAAATCTTCTCCAAATCATGATCTTTCCTAGTCATAGATAAACAGCTTCAACCTAGAATATTTGACAAAGATTATGAACTTTCATCGTATTTTCAGTACTAAGCAGTAACATACCCTTTACTTCACATAGTTCTTAAGATCAAGTACTTAGCTAGTTGACCAAATTTTGGTATGATTTGCCAAACTTTTTTTAAATGAATAACATTTATATGACCATATTTCTGAGTCCGACTTAATTTTACCTTTATGATATTAGATACGACAAATCTTTTATTTTGTGTGAAGGGAGTTTGAGTTCTACTGTTGATCAGAGACACATATGTGGGAAGACAAATAACTGTTGGTAAATAAGAAGACTTATTACTGGTGGTAGGTGGTAACAGTAAACACAAGAGATCTATACACTTTTAATTGCAAAATGAAAAAATCTCACATTTCAGATTTTATAAACAAAAGCTGTTTGATAAAGTTCCTCATCACTACCATCAATTATATGACTTGACACTATCATCATTCCTGTTTCTCTGTTGATATCTATTGCATAAGGATATTTGATTCCATCAGCCTCGGACAATATTGTCTTACACTTTTTATAATCTGGTGATTATACCGAGATACCATTGTTTCCACGAGAAACTATATAAACAAAGCCATTCTTGTCTAATGCAAGTCCTCTTGGACTGACAATACTATGGTGCGTAATTGACCAGAGTAGTTCTCCAGTACTTTTGAAGCAGCGGACGATGTTTTCCGCGGTTAAGGTACTATAGATATTTCCTTTGAATAATGCAACATGATTTGCCAAAACTTTTGATCTGAAGCCCTTCTTGTCATTCTTCTCATTATTCAGATTTACTGTGGTACTGTTGTATTCCATACTGGCGAAGACCAACATTTGACCATCACTTACTACTGAACCAGATTTACAGATGTCCATTTTTTTGATAATTTCATTTTTGTCTACATCCACCAAAACCGTCTGCCTTTCTGATCCTAATATGACAGCCACTGTATTAGTTCTAACAAAGCAAGTATCAAATGAGGATCCAGTAAATGCCACTACTTCTCTCAGAAACATGCCATCATTTCTGAACAGCAGCAGATGACTTTTATCCAAGCTGCTATCAAGAATTGAATATTTACCGTCAGGTAAAATTCTACAGGCAAATATATTAATAGACTTCATATATTCTGGAATTGTCAGCTTTCTTAACATGGATGGCTTTATTTGATCAATATCAGGAATTGCTTGAACTAGGTTCTGTGCTTGATCTTTACTTCCAGAGTTGACTTGAAGGGGAAACGGGCTGGTATTGAGATTGATAACTCCAAATGATTTGACATCTTTTAAAATTGATTTTAGCTCAGATGAGATGGTTACTTCTAGGTTGTTTTCATCTAATTGGCCTCCACTTTTTAAAGGTTCTATGTATTGTGCTGCTTGAGATGTAGTTTTCTCGATTTCTTTCAGACCAACATACATTTGTAGCTCAGTAGCATATTGTGTCATTTGGGAAAACTCACTCTGCAATTGGCTTATCTGATTGGCTTGTGTTTTCAGTTGTTGTAGTAAAGTGTTCATCTTAGATTTCAGCTGTGATTGCTTTGATTCTAGGTCATCAAGAATTTCTTGTTCTAATTTGTTTAAGAAATCATCTATTGACTTCCTCATGGATCGAATTTGTTCAGAAGCTTTCTGTTTCTGAATATTGCTGGTTTTCATCCTACTGTTCAAATATTTGATAATCTCTTCAAAATTTTCCATCACATCTTTCAAATCTTTTTTGAAAAGCTGAACTGAAGCAGATGATTTGACCTGCTTTAGAATATCTGACAGTGGTTTCATTTCTTGACATTTCTGATGTTTATCAGTGATGCATATGACACAGCAGGGACAGGCATGGAAAGAACAGTAAATTTCAAACTTCTTTTTGTGGTCTTTGCAGTGGGAACTAATTTCTTGCATAAATTTCGGTAATTTATTGAAGTCTTTAGTAGAAATTGTTTTGTGGTCTTTAGATGTTTTTAACTTTTTGTGATGCTTTTCACAGTCTGTACAAAGGAACACCTCACATTCTATACACCATGTGACAGCTTCTGTAGATGTTCCATCATCATCATAACAGAGAGAGCAGATTTTCCTATCTGATGAGGCCATATTCTCTCTTTTTGTTTCGGAAATTAAGTGAAGAAAATAAAAGAACAGTGTTTTTAAAAAATAAATAATGATGGCAAACTGCTCAAGCACCAAGAACCATTTTGATTAAAAGAGAAAACACAGTAACATAGTACTAGCATGTGGTAACATAACATAGCACAAATGTAGCATGACTTTTAAAACATTTGAATCATAATGGCAATTTTCAGATTGATTCTATACCTATATAGAGTTATTTTCTTTCAGAATGATAGCTCTTTCTTGAATGAAATGTGCTTCAAGGCATAAACAAATGACCTGTAAAAAGTCATTAGTTTCCCTTATTAAAATGCAACTACAGTTTGTTATGCTTTTTGAACCTTTGAATAAACTTATCTTTATTTAAACAAGGCAGACTTCATACAGGAGCTTCTTAGAAAAAAAGAAAAGAAAAAGCTAGCATAGGAAGGATGAAAAGAAGTCAGCATTATCCATTAACTTCATATTCTGCTATAAAGGTGATGCCCCCTCACTAAATTGTTCAAAGTTTAGTGAGTATACTGAATGTATCTATCCCATCAAACAGATTTTTTTCGTTTGATAAAGTCTTTGCATTCATGACTGATATTGATAACTTCAAGGGTGGATAATACAGCACTATTGCCATTACTGTATTACACCTGCAATTTACTTACTTACTTATTTATTTATTACAGAAATGAATACTTATGGTCCTACATCCTGTCTATAGATATAAGAAGATGTGGTATTAGTGCCAATGAGACAACTCTCCATCCAAGTCACAATGTGTAAAGAGTTAACAGTTATAAGTCAAAGTTCGGCCTTCAACACAGAGCCTTGGCTCACACCAAACAGCAAGCTATAAAGGGCCCCAAAATGACTAGTGTAAAACAATTCAAACAGAAAAACCAATGGTCTAATCTATATAAAACAAAAGAAACGAGAAACACTTATGAACCTCATCAACAAACAACAACAATTGAACAGGCTTCTGACTTGGGACAGGTGCATAAAATGCAATGGGTTTAAACGTTTTACCTCTATTGGCCCTTAAAATTGCAAAATCAAAAAGTATTTAAGTCTATCAAATATTATCCTTCAGATGTTCATGAGAGTGATGGTAAATACATAAGTCTGTCAAAAATGAGAATAAATATTGTCAATCTGGTTTGAAGGATATGGATGGGTGGTAACTTGACAGGATTGGAATGGGCATGCCCAATATTGACAATTTTCACTTTACCGTTCAGGAGTAGTATGGTCCTTGATTGTTTTGAAAATGGCGCTTTAAGTTTATTTTTGAACAGTAACTTATAAACTGCAGAACCAATGCTTTTCACATTTTAATGTGTTGTTGACAAAACTGTGGTAAAGGTTTGATGTTTAGGATTTTCATGTTTTCCATTCAGGAGTTATGGCCCTTGATTAATTGGAAAATGGCACTTATGTCGTTTCAATGCAATAACTTGAGAACCATAGAACCAGTCCTTTCGAAATTGTTTTTTGTTGTTACTGATGAAAATGGAGGTCAAGTATGATATTGAAAGAAAAAATCACATATTTGCTGTTAAGAGTTATGACCCCCAATTGCTTTAATATGCAATAATATAAATACTAGATACAATAACAAGAGGCTATCAAAATGACAAAAAACTAGATTTTAATTACATTTATTACTGTCATTGTTATAACAAAAAATAACTCTTGAAAGGAACAAGTAAATATAACAAATGAAAAGAATTGATTCAATGAATCTATGTTAACACTTTTATTAGTCTTTCTTCACATCTTGAAGTTCAAAAGGATCAATTCTCAAATGGAAAGTCCCTCCAACCATATGTTAATATGGCCATTCTTAGTGGGGAACAATGTGAATATGTTTAGGGTTTTTTTAATTGTCCCATAGAAATATTGTTGTTGATGGGGAGCTCTTGTGATCTCTTTTGGTTTTTTTTTAATACCTGTTTGGACTTGATTTAAAGCTTGATATAAAGCAAATAATGTAGTGGTGGTGTGACGCATATACTTCGAGGAAGTTCTCCAAAACGAAATTACAAATTCATCTACATTCAGGTCCGTATGCTCCACAGAGAGTCAAATTGTAAACAAGCATATCACTGCCACTACCCAGCTTAAAGCCTCTTTCGAACATTTGAAAGTCCCTACTATGTACTGGTTACCTAAATTGCACAAAAAACTATTTAAATTTCGTTTCATCTCCACATCTAGTAAGTGTTCTACTACCAATCTATCAGTGCTTCTAACAACCTCCCTTACTACTATCAAAGAACTTGTTATTAACTTTTGTAATAAAGCTTATGAAAATAATGGTATTAATTATTTTTGGAGTGTTAAAAATTCTTTAGAGGTTTTAGATAAAATACATGCTTTTGATGGTCCTTTTAATTCTGTTGACAGTTATGATTTTTCTACTCTCTATACTACACTTCCACGCAATCTTATCAAGAAAAAGTTTTCATATTTGATTAAATGGTCTTTTGAAAAATCTCAATACAAATTTATTTGCTGTAACTCGTTTAAAGCCTTTTCTGTAACAATAAAGGAAAGTATGCTAGATACACTTACTGGAAATGTGAAGATATGATTGAAGCTTTAAATTTTCTCCTGGACAACATATATGTACATTTCGGCGATAAAGTGTATGACAAGTAGTAGGTATTCCTATGGGCACTATCTGCGCCCCTTTAATAGCAGATTTATTCCTGTATTGCTATGAATCTCAGTTTATGACCAAACTCAGTAAAGACACGTCATTGTTACATTTGGTTGATACATTCAACAACACCTTCCGTTATCTAGATGATATTTTTTCGTTAAATAATCCAGAGTTCTCTAAATATACTACCGAAATTTACCCAATAGAACTTACTTTAACCAAATCTAACATAAACAGCAGTATTTGTCCTTTTCTGGATTTGGACATTTCAATCTCTAAAGGAAAACTCCATACGAAAATTTACGACAAAAGAGACGATTATTAATTCCCTATTGTTAATTTTCCTTTTTTAGACGGCGATGTTCCTTTGGCTCCATCATACGGTGTTTATATATCCCAACTCGTTCGTCATGCCCGTGTGTGAAGTGATGTCATAGATTTTAACGAACGTAATCAATGCATCACTGGTAAATTATTAAGTCATGGATTTCGTTACCATAAATTATGTAAAACTTTTGCTAAGTTCTTTCATAGATACAAAGATTTGATTAGTAAATTTGGTTGTACCTGTAGAAAACTGATTAAAAACAGTATTTCAGATCCTAAATTTTACGGTAATATTGTACTTAAAGCGCGGAAATCACTATGTGATCCGTGTAAACTCATCGAACCTTTAAACAAACTTATTAGTAAAGGTTATCTTACCAATGTTGTAATTAGATCTTTGAATATAGTTTACATTGGCACTTAAATATCGATTTTGTCATCAGCAAATTAAAACATAACTAAATTTGTTTTCTTTTCAAACGGGATGTATAAAGACACACCCACGTTCATTTTGATCTATAAAGAGGTTAAACTCCTAACTATCCTACTGTCTGTCGATACATTTATTTTGGGCATTGCACTAGTCATGTCTTCTTTGACTGTCCATGACGTTAAAATACTAAATCCTTGGGATGTGTTTTAGTTGATTTTAGTCTCTGATGCATGATTTTTTATTATTAATTGTTTTGGCTTTTAACTAGCTGTCAGTAACTGTGAGTACTCTCAAATCGTACTTTCTTGTTTATTTGACCTGTTGATACTAATTGTAATGCTTTTTTGTTATTTAATGTTATTCAGGGTTATATCTGGTCTATATACCAGCTTTGATAAGTGTTTGGTATTACTATAAATTTTCACTTCGTACTATGAACATCAAAATTATTTATTTGGTAAAAATATTTCCTTTCTCTATTGGAACTGTACACGTATACCTAACAACAAAATTATTTTCATTTACCTGTGTTTAAAGTTATTGCAAATGGCTGATATTTTTGTTTGAGCTTATTGTTTTTCTTAAATTGTTAAACATTTCATACCGATATAACATGTTACTTTTATTATTCTTCCCTTAGTTTATTAATTTTTTTATTTGCATTGTATCATAGGTCAAATTTATTTGTTCAGTGTATGTTCACTGGTGTTAATATGTCCTTTGATTGAGTTAAGCTATTTCAGTTGATATTTTATAGTGTCTCTTTCTATGTTGTGATGTTACACTATTGTTTCAGAAAAAGGGTGAAGGTTTGGTACCATTAAAATGTTTAAACCCGCTGCATTTGTTTGCACCTGTCCTAAGTCAGGAATCTGATGTTCAGTAGTTGTCGTTTGTTGATGTGGTTCATAAGTGTTTCTGGTTTCTTGTTTTTTATATAGATTAGACCGTTGGTTTTCCCTTTTGAATGGTTTTACACTAGTAATTTTTGGGGCCCTTTATAGCTTACTGTTCGGTGTGAGCCAAGGCTCCGTGTTGAAGACCGTACTGTGACCTATAATGGTTTACTTTTATAAATTTTGACTTGGATGGAGAGTTGTCTCATTGGCACTCATACCACATCTTCTTATATCTATATTGTCCTGCAGATGTTTTATGTTTTTGTGTTGTTTGATTTCTGTTTCATTATCTAAAATAAAAAAAAAACAAACACATGCTTACCCTTAATATTGGGATTGCTGGTGCTCTGGAAAAGGAATTTCGACAGGGAAGTAAAATGTCCAATAAATGGTACACCTACCTTGGATAATTGATTAAGATATATCTGAATTAAAGGTTAACATTTGAATGGTTGGACATATTCCAATTTAGAATATTTTACATAGCTTTCTATTTGAAGGTTCCAATTATTGTAATGTTATGGAATTAGTTAAGTGACAGAGAGTCATTTAAAACTGCAGATGTGTACAGAAA